TTTGATTGATGGTTGTTGTGTGAGGGCCCAGTCCACTATGGGCATTGCTATTCCTGGCCTGTTCTTCCTGGGTGCTGCAAGAAAGTGGGCTGAGCAAGCTTTAGGGAGCAAGTCAGGAAACAGCATCCCTCCATAGCTCCTGGATCAGTTCCTGTTTGGAACAGGGCAGTTCCTGTCCTGACTTCCCTCAGTGATGCGCTGTTACCCTGGATGTGTGATATAAACCCTTTCCTCTCCAAGTTGCTTTTGGTTTTAGTGTTTCATCACATCCTTAGGAATCTTAACTAAGACAAATGCCAACCTTAGCTGTATAACACAGATGACTAACCTCTCCTGAGGTGCTCCCCGTCTCAGCTCCACATGGCCCGGAACTTTGTCAAGGTTTGTTGTCATTGTTTTTTCTGGTCCAAACCTTATTTTTAAGTGATCCTGCATCCTCCCAGCTTTGACCAGGTATTCCTCCTAAGAAATACTTTGCTGTGGAAGTTCCTCCTGGAGCTTATATTGGGACAGTCTTCATTCACCAATGCTAGCATTAGCACACTTCCTCCCCCTCACTCTGCTTGATTCTTTGGAAGCTAAGAAGCTTTTTGCTCAATGTTCCCCTCTAGAATTATATTTAATTCTTAAGCATCGTTGTGATCTCTTTGCTTGATTCCTTAGTCGTTGTAATCTTGTTTCATTTTTCCTCTTGCAGTATCTAGACCTACTCTTTCTGGACACACCTGGCTTTAACTCATTTAATTTATCAGGTCGCTCAGTCCCTGGGTGATTCTCCTTGTCTTAATGCCGTCACCCACTGTCGTCAGCTTCCCTGTCATCTAAAAATTTCCACATTAAATTATTCACCTAAAACCCAAGCCTCCTTTCAGAATAGCATCTTAACTTCATCTCCAGTATCTTCACAACTTTGTTTTTTTTAACTTCCTGCTCTCTAGTTCATGGTATACAGACATTGCTGGCCTTGAGTACATAGAATTCTTCTAAGTGAACACACTGCTTCCAGTGTAAATTATATAAATCCCACCAATCTCAGCCATATATAAGTTATTCTTTTAGGGGAAAAGTCTGCTTATTGCTTCACTTAGAATGCTTGGATGATTTCATATTATTTCGGAAGAAAGCCCCAAGAGGCACTGTCCTTTCTTTCTCTTTCAGTGTTTATAATCTCAGTGCTTTGTAATCAGCGTACTAAGGAGTTACTCATCCATTTCAAAAATAACTGAGTTCTGATTTCCAGGTTTAAGCATAGGAACATATGGTTAATTCAAACATATGATTAAGGCTATCCATCACTATGCTATCAGCTCTAGCTAGTTACTTTGGAGCATAATCCAGATGATTTACTTAGAGTCAGCACAACATATTTAAGGAACACCTTCACATACACGTGAGTGTAGCGTGCAGGCGACACATAGATACAAAGCATTGAAATTGCCTCTCCATGTCCAGATTTCTTTACAATTTCTGCTCTAATTTCTAACTCAGAAGAGCTTATGGCCTCCAAAGAAATGGAAATGATATAATCAGAACTGGTGAACATACAGAATATTTATATATTACAAATTGACATTTTCTACTCCTACGGCACGGTTAAACCGCTGGCCTCTGCTCATGTCCTTTCAGCTACTGAGACTGAAGGTTGCCTGTATGTGATTATATATATATATATATATATATATATATATATATATATATATATATATATATATATATATACACACACACATAATTATCCATGTCTTGAAGCACACATATTTACACAATCTCCTCTACTGAAACTGTCCTCAAGGGCAGACTTTCGAGGCTGTCGGCAACCTTCTCTTTTTCTGATCAGCTTCCATCCATCTCCTGGAGCTGCCAAGCTTCTCTTACCTGAATGACACTGTTGCTGGTGTTTTTTGGCAGGGTCCGTATGTTTTCACTAACCTGCTTTATTTTAAATTTGCTACTTGGGAAGGTCTACATAATTACTAAGTAGCTCTTGGGTATTTATCTCCCCCACAAACCCCCCCCCCCCACAAAATTATATTTTCCTCCAATATTATATTTCCTCCAATAATTCCACTCCTTCTTAGTCTATGAGGGCCACTTTCTTTCCAGCTCCCACACATGCGTTTGTAATACTGAAACACCTACCAGCTCTAACCTGGAAATGACCCAAAATGCTTTGCCGCAGATAAATGGTTACAAACTGGGAAAATTGTTTCTCACAATGCTACCCTTTAATAAAAGAGAACAGAATAATGAGAGCACTAACAGAAGCAAAGGAATACATGCCTGGCAGATAATATCCAAATCAGAATCCAACTTACTCTGTGATTCTATATTGATAAATTTATTAGCGTATTCAAATTTCTAGGTATGCGGAAGCAATTAGGTGATAAAGCTTAAGGAGGAGAAGTGTGGGTGTGTCTCTAAAGCGAATTATCAGAAGCTTTATTTTCATTGGACAGTTTCTCTTGACGTGATTAGTTATGTGAAAGTACATATGTGACTGAGTTGCATAAAACCTTCCCCCCACACCATCTGTGTGTATATGTTTTTTCATAAGAAGAAACAGTGAAAGAAGAGCACGTGGGTTCCCCTTTGAAAAGCCTTAACACTTGTATTTAATTATTTTTATGCACGCCTCCATGAACTAATACGCACCATATGCATGCAAGAACTGACAGGGGTCAAAAGAGGGCATTCGAGCTTTGGAATTGGAGTTACAGGTTGTGAGCTGTGATGTGGGTGCCGGGAAGCAAACTCAGGTCCTCTGAAAGAGCAGGAAGTTCGCTTGTCTGCTGAGCCGTCTCTCCAGCTCCACCTCCTTGTAAATGTTTTTATATAGCTTCCTGAAAATCCGTAACTATTTTACATATTACACAAAATCAACCTGGACTCCTCCAAAAGTATTTATTTAAAATAATCTAGAAAAAAAAAGGATAAGAAGAGCAACAGTAGGATATAATAAACTGTAATACATAGTTAATATATTGATTGAGATATGGAAAACATTACAGCATACAGCAAGATGTTAATATGACATTCAACCATATTGCTACATTCAACCAATTGATACATTGTCAACATTTTGCTATATTTTTGCACATCTATGCTTTTGCTACGTTTATACAGACTGCTTTAAAAAAACGTATTTCTGTTTATACCTTCTCATTCACTTTCTCCAAGTTGCTTTTTTAAGCATTCCTTCATGTTCTAAAGAGACAACTCATTTTTTAAAAAACACATCACTGCATTTAATGACTGTTATTGCTTAAATCCCATACTTCTCTGTTCTAACTCATCCTTAGCTCATGTGAGGACCTGCCAATCACATCAAACCCAGAAAGGATTCTGAACGTCTTTGTTGTGAAGAAACACTGAGGGCTGGGGAAGAAACAGCCCAGTCAGGACAGCATCAGCAGGGCCTTAAGCCCTGTCTTCTCAGTAAAGTGATTTTGGTTTCTGGGTTCAAGTACACCTTTGTGGTCATCTTGAAGTAATATAGAGTTTTGTTTGCTCTTTAATAAATACCATCACTACTTATGAAACTGATTACATCTGTATGGCAATAAAGGAATTCCATCTGTATGGTGTCTTCAGTCCTCCATAACTTTGTTGGATGCATATTAAATATATATATAAAATTTTATTAAGAAGGGGACTTGGGAGGATATTTTTTTTTCTTTTTCTGTACAAAGGTTTTTATTTTCAAAGATAAAAGTAAGTGTCTTTCACTGTTTTCCTTACTCCTCATGGGTGACAGCTGTGGACTGATAATGCTGAGTTCTCCTAAATGGATGTAACATGTCCAGTCTTCACGACCGATATCATGTCCAGATTATAACAGATTATTTTTTTTGAGATACAAATGTAGCATTAGTAAAACGCTTGGAAGAAGTCATCCACTAATTCAATTATTCCTCCTCATAAATATAAAATCCTCTCTGTAGCTACTGTTATGTAGGGAGAAAAGCTATCTTAATGCATCCACACAGAAATTTGTATGTCTTATTACGATTGATTCATTTATAATTTCTAGGTATGGCATTTTCACATCTGCCTTCCTGTTTGTGCCTGACTCAGACACACATACAGTATCAATAATATTTGATTCTTCATGCCTGTTGCTCGTTAGCCTTCAAAAAGTTCAAGGTTGAGTTAAATGAGAATTATTTTAATGTTTATAGTCGAAAACCTTGAAATGCATCTACTTTAATCAGGTGAAAGCAATAATGATCTTTCTCAGTAAGCATGTATTTCTGACTTAGGTTACCTTGTTATCATCCACAGAATCTAATAAAATCATGAACAACTAACACGTATCATAACTTTCATGATCTATGCTAAATTAAAAAAAAAATGTAAGGTTCCACCCAGGAAGTCATGCATTTTAGGGTTGTGCATTCACACAAGTAAGAGCCTTTACATATTATATGCTGACAATTTTTAGGTGACTTTTTCAGTATATGAAAAACATCTGGCCTTATGAAATGCTGGAATATTAAAATAAAGATAGACGACAGAATCTAGAGCAATTTATTCAGTAAAAAAAAGGGTTTAATTTTTCTTGTTATTAATCATTAGCTTCTACAGATATTTCTTGACAAATAAACAGTAAGAGGTTTAGAAAGAATGAAGAAAAATCTAAAAATTTCATTGCTTTCTGTCTCCGCTTACAAAATGGGAAAGGTATTCGTTTTATTTTACATGTAAATATTGCGCGTAGAGGCGTACAGGCCGCCGAAGCATGCGCAGAAAGAACGGCCACTCGGTGGCTGAGAGGCTGCTCCTGGTTAGGAGGGCCGGAGGCTCCAGACATCCTCTGAGCCCTGCAGGGAAAATGCTGACTCCCCTGGGCTCTGGTCCCTGCGGACACAGAGCTGCACTGTGGAGCTTCCTGTTCCCGTCCGGCCCTGCCTCTCCTGCTTCCCAAGAGCCCAGGCGCAGTGGCCACGAGCTGCCAACGTTGCGCCAACTGCCATCACTGTGGCAAAGCCAGCGGCCACACCATGCTGCCTTTCTTCCTGGTCCTCTCATGCCTAGGCCAAGTGATCGCCCCAGGCAAGGGTAGGTGAAACCACAGGCCACCTGGCGTGGGTGGACTCAGCTGAGAGGCACTGAGGGTGCCTCTCCCTGCGCTGCGGCGAACTCACTGTGCCCCTCTCCGCAGACTTTGAAACACCACTTCTGCACATCACAGTGCCACAGAAAATCGAGAGCAACGTCGTGGATGGCGAGGAGGGAGGAACACATGTAATTAAGAGAGCGGATTTTGCGGGGGTGGGGTGGGGCGGGAGGATGGGTGTTCTCTACTTCTGGCCCACATCATTTAGTGTGCTAGAGGCTGTTGGTCCGAGGAAGGGCAAATATCGCAGTTTTCTCTCACTTCCCAAGTATTGCACAAATGTTTTATGTGAGACTCAAATGTTCTAGCTTCCCGTCTCCTCGCTGTCACGCGCAGCTTTACTGGACTCAGGGAAAACCTGGCCATTAATTATAGACAGCACTGACATTTACCTTGTATCATGACTTCCAAACTGGCACCATAAAACCCACCAGGCCTATAAATGCGCACGTATGTGAAGCCTCTGGAAAAACAAAACAGTAAAGCGTCAAAGTTATAAGAGTATTCTGAAGAATACAGAGAGACGTGTCTAAAGTGAGTGTCCGTTTGCGCAAGTTCTGAGGTACTAATTTTAACCAACTGAACACTTAGTCACATACATTTTTTTTATGACTCTCTATGGCAATATTGTCTTTCCACTTGTACAATGGTTTCCCATGTATGTATAAAACTTCTGACCTGCATACGGCCTTGTATTTTCTGAGAGCCATTTGCATAGGACCAATGAGGAAGCAGTTTAGCAGTTTTAGCAAAGTAGTTCAGAATGTTTTCAGTTCCTTCCAAGTCAGACAATGGTTTTCTACAAAGTTAGCACACTGACTTATCATCATTTCATACTGCCTTCAAATCACCTTCTTACAATCTTTCTACTTTTGCTATTCTTAAACAGATATTTAAATTATATATATATATATACACACACGTATACACATACATGTATATCATGAATGTAAACCTGCCTAGTTTTATAACTAGCTTCTTGAGATTTGACCATAGATAATATTCAGTCTACAAAGCATTAATATTTCACATTCCAAACCATGAACTTAGCATTTAAAATATTTTTTTCAGTCTTTGAAAATTTCTTACATGATATCTCCTGGTCCTATCCAACCCCACTCTCCTCATGGTTCCCTGCAGCCCCTGCCTTATTGTCCTTTAAGTTTTAAAATTGATTTTTTAAAAAAGATTTCTCTATGTTTTTTATTCTAGACACTCTGAACCATGACTGTGTCTTATTTGTTTATGTTTTATAGGTTCCATTATAAAGTCTCTGCATATTCTTTTATTTTCTTGGGCGTAGAAACTGGCATTATAAACTTGTTTTCTAATTGTTTATCTTTCAATGCATAGGAATAAAATGTCCCCTGCATAATTAATTGTATATAACTCATGAATAATGACTGCTGTCATTTGCAATATGGGTTTATTTCATATATCTTTTGAGTTTTTATCCTCCTGGTGTCAGTTTGTAGAAGACTTGTATTTGTTTTCCCTTTAGATTCATTGATGACAGTAATAGGTGAGAAAAATGTAGCTTATCATTTTGGGTTTTTCTTTTGTGTGTTATTTTGCTAATTAAAAAGCTATGGAATCAGGGAGTAACACATGAATTAGAAAGAGCACATACGTGTTAGAAGCATGAGAAATGGTAGAGATATGTTGCGGGGGTCATTTCAGTTTGGGTATGTGTAGGTTCTTATGTCACATGGAAGGTGTACATACATAGATCGTAGCTTGTTTCTTTTAAGGAGCCCATGTTTCTAATAATTTCTTTCTCTCTTTCTGAACACTTTGCCGCAGGTCACTTACCTGGTCAAAATTGAGGGCAAAGCATACACATTCCATCTTGAAAAACAGTAAGTCAACAGGTGCTCGCTCTTACCTCACAGCCGTTTCCAGTTCCTCATCTTTCCACTCATCCCCAAGCTGGGCGTGAACACTCCATTCACTTAGCACACGCCGTCTTCACGGTTCACGAGGAACTGGGATTTTAAATCTTTCTCGTGGGATTTTAAACCTAATCGTCTACATTCTAAGTTAATGATATCTCAAGGTGAAAATTACCGAAGACCTTAAAGCAATGGTTCTCAGCCTTCCTAATGCGGCAATCCTTTAATGCAGTTCCTCAAGTTGAGGTGACCCCCTGTCCTGTCTGGTTTTGTGAGGCTAGAGTGCTCAGAGAGAAAGGAGCCTCAGTTGAGGAAACGCTTCCATGAGATCTGGCTGTAAGGCATTTTCTCAAATAGTGATGGATGGTGGAGGGCCCAGCCCGTGGTGGATGGTGCCATGGCTGGGCTGGTGGTCCTGGGTTCTATAAGAAAGCAGGCTGAGCAAGCCATGAGCAAACCATGAGAAGCAGGCCAGTAAGCAGCACCCACCACAGCCTCTGACTCCAGGTTCCTGCCCTGCTTGAGTTCCTGTCCTGACTTCCTCCAGTGATGGACTATGATCTGGAAGTGTAAGCCGAATAAACCCTTTCCTCCCCAACTTGCTTTTTGGTCGAGGTGTTTCGTCGCAGCAATAAAACCTGGACTAAGACACTTTCCTACTCATAACTGTATTTTTGCTGCGGTTATGAGTCATGACGTGAATATTTTGAAGGCGGGGTTGCCAGCGGGGTCATGACCTACAGGCTGAGAACCCCTGCCTTAGACCATACTCATGGTTGCAGCCAAGACAAAGTGTAGCCGTTACTTCTCTGTGTGTAATTTTGTGGCTTCATGTATTGTTTCACACATCTATGGGGTTCCAAGCACCCTACTTGAGTACTGTGTGTGCCTTAGACAAATGGAGACCTGGCCAGAAAAATATCTCAGCCTAGGAAATCAGGTCGATCTTGAAAACACTGAAGTTAAAACTGCAAACAAGGGCAAAACTTGCCTAGGCCATTGCTTTCATAAAGAAAGAAAACTTGAGTTATCGAAAGCAGTGAGTTGACGTCAGTTGTGCGGCCATGATTAGGGTTCAGGGGGCACGTGCGTGTACATGTGGGTGTGCATTTGTATATGTAATTTATGTATATAATCATCTGGAAAATAAAGAAGTTTTGACTTCCTGCTTTCCAATCTTTACTGCTTTACCTCAGGAGTCTTACTGCTCTATCTAGGAATACAAGTGCTATATTGAAGACCAATGGAGAAAGTGGACAACCTTGTCTTGTCCCTGATTTTAGTGGAAGTGTTTTGAATTTTTCTTCATTTAGCAAGATGTTGGCAGTGGGCTGCTTGTAAATTGCCTTTATTATGCAGAGCTCTGTCTCCTGTCCCTGCGTTTTCCCAGAACTTTTATCATGAAGAGGTGCTGGACTTTATTAAAGGCGTCTCTTCATCTAATGAGATGATTTAAGTCTCTTTATATATGTTGAATCATCCTTGCATCTCTGCGATAAGCTGACTTGGTCATAGAGGGTCATCTTTTGTGTGTGTGTAATCTTGAATTGGGTTGCCAAGTATTTTACTGAAAAATTTTGCATCCAAGTCCATCAGTGAAAAGCTCATAATTTTCTTCTTTTGTGTTGGATCTCTCTATGTCCATTTTGTTATCAGGGTAATACTAACGTCATAAAAATCATTCAGAAATGTTTCTTCATTTTCTATTTTATGTAATAACTTGAGGAATATTGGCACTAGTTCTTTTTGAAGATCTGAAAAAAATTCTGCACCAGATCCATCTGGACCCAGGTTTTTTGTTTTGTTTTTGGATATTTTAATTATTGTTTCTATCTTATTGGATGTTTTGGGACCATATCTTGTATTAGCTTTTGTAGGCCATGTATATAATGTTTAATATATAATATATATGAACATATAATATATTGAATAATACAATATATCATATATTGTATATTGCATTGTACACACATATCCAGAAATGCAAATATTTCTTTTAGATTTCCAGTTTGATAATGAAAGCATCAGTGACACAATTGGTTAGCAAAACACTTATAATTTAGATTTTTAAAGTGTGTTCTTATGATTCCCTGAATTTCTTCAGTGATATAATAGCTACTATTTCTTCTTTATTTTATTATTTGGTTAAATTGGCTAAAAGGTTTGTCAATTTTATTAATGGAAAACCAGTTCTTCATTTCACTGATTATTTGTATTTTTTTTCATTTCTTGTTCATTAGTGTCAACCATAATTTTGATTATCTTTTCCCATCTGGTTTGGGGGTATTGCCTGTTCTTATATTTCTGAGGCCTTGAGGTACATCATTAAGTTATTAAAGATCCCTCAAATTTCTTGATGTAAGCACTCAGTGTTATGAACTTAACCCCTTAGGACTGCCTAAACTATGTTCCATGGATTTCAGAATGTTGTGTTTTCATTTTCATTTACTTTTAGGAATTTTATACCCTCTTCTTGGTTTCTTCCTTGACTCTGTTATTCAGTAGTCCATTGTATAGTTTCCATGAGTTGTGTATACTTTCTCTAGCTTCTGTTGCTAAAGAGATCCAGCTTTATTCCTTTGTGATAGGACAGGATGAAGGAGGTCATCTCCACTTGATAAAGCTTGCTTTGTGTCCTACTATGTGATTGATGTTGGAGAAAGGTCTTTAGGATGCTGAAAAGAAAGCATATTCCTTAGTGTTTGGGTGAAATACCCTGTGGATGTCGGTTATGTTTATCTGATGAAAACCCTGACATAAGTCCACACTTGTAAAGCTACCTGATGTTTGACAGAGAGCCCAAAAACACTTTGAAGAAAAGACATAATCTTATCAAATGTTGCTGGTCAAATTGGATAGCCGCATGTGGAATAATGAAACTAGATCCTTATTTCTCACCCCGCAAAAAAAAATTCTACTCCAGATGGCTTTAAGGCTTCAACATAAGACTGATACTCTGAATCTGATAGAGGAGAAATTAGGAAATATATCTGAATTCATTGGCATGGAGAGGACCTTCTGATCGTAGTAGTGCAAGCATTAAAACCAATGGTTAATGGAGGGGACTTCATGAACCTGAATTTTCCATACAATGAAGAACACCATCATTGGAATGAGGAGGGAGCCTACAGAATGGAAATAAATATTTACCGGCTACATATCTGAGGATTAGTAACTAGGGTATATAGAGAACTAAAACAAAAAGCTAGCCATCAAGGAATTAAATATCATTTTAAAAATGGGGCATGAAACTAAACAGTTCTACAAAGATTAAATACAAAAAGGTGTTTGGAATTTTGAGATGATTTGCAATTTTACAAAAAAGCATTTGCTGGTGATATATATAATCAACCCATTGACTCATTAGCAAATACTAAGGTTATCATACCATGAGGTGTATTTGTGGTTAAACTAAAACTGAAATGAGACTATGTGGTTGTGACCATCAGTTTGTTAACTATAATTTGTCACAGCCCTATGCTGGTCCCTGGTTTTAGTCCTAACTATTATCTTTAAGTTTTTATGTATCTAAGACAAGCTAGATAATGAAAAGACAAGTCTATTTAATTTTTAGATATTTGGGTCTGGTAAATTTACATTTTAATTAATCTGGAAATTTTTGTTGTTAATGAACCTGTATATTGATATTAATATATTATTACAATAAAATGTCATTATTTTGATTGAAACAGGACATTTTTACATCCACTTTTTGTGACATATTACTATAATCAGCTTGAAACATTGCGGCAGGATTATTCTTTAACAAAGGTAAGTCTAAGCTTTTGCTCTGTAGATTTTGGTTTTGAATATATGTTTTTGTGTGTGTATGCATATATGTGTAGCAGTGTTTTTCCCCCCTTATATCTCCATAGTTGTTAATTTGGAAATTGTTATGCATACTTTTATATATAGAAGATATATGTTTCTATATATGTATGGATTAATGTTACCTTTAGAAGTTTTTGCATTTTTAAATTTATAATTTTTAAAATTTATTTTTAGTTAAAATATTATTATATCACTTGACCTTTTACTCCCCCCCAACCTCTCTCATGTTCCCGCCCTCCAACTGTGGTGATAATTTTTCAGACAAGGAGCCTAGGCTGGTGGCAAAATCCCAGTCCTGCCTCTACTCATAAGTGTTGGAATCACAGGTTTGTATTATCATGAGCAACTTAGATTCATTATTTTAATAGGCTTACGGTGGCTACTGAGGGGAAGAAAAAGAAATGTTTTCTAATCCTCAGCGCTGTTGGTCAAACAGATGACAAATGCAAGCCCACCACTGAATAAAATAAGTGGTTTGGAAGGCTGGCACCCAGAAAGCACTCATCTCAAAAGCACAACTACACTGTGCCTGGAGACATCAGGGGTTTGAGATGGAAAAAAAAAAAAAGGCAGGCTGGGGGGTAAGGCAGGCTGAAGGATGAAAAATGTTGTCTCACAAGCCCTGAATAGTGGAGGAGACTGTAGGAATTGCCATATAGAAAGACAGCAGTGAAATGGCGAGGGAGAAAACACCCAAAGCAGAGGGCACGCAGATTGGCACAGGCTGGGTCAGCAGACATGGGGTGGCATGCAAACGCTCTCTGGTGGGGACAGTGGGCTATCACATAAGGGATTCTAACACAGCTCTGAAGTAAACATCTAGCAGCACCTTGCACACGGCAGTATCAGAGCTGTGGGGACTCCTAGGTGTCCGCATTTTACAATGAATTTTGATTAACATTTATTAATTGTGCATACTGCCAGGGCCTAGTGTGGTATTTCAACACTTGAACAGCATGTGCAACGAATAAATCTAGATTCCCTTTATCCATTCGTTCTGGCCCTTTGCAGCTCCTGGTCACCACTGCTGTAAACTCAGGTTTATCTTTCTGGCTTCCACATGTGACAGAGAATATGTGGTACTATTCTGAGTGGGCTTGGATTATTATTATTGGAATTTATTATTATTATCATTAGTATTATTATTAATGGAAGTAAGGCCCTTTTATTCTTTGTACTAGAGTGATGGTAGTTTTATTTATGTCAATATTATTCCTACTCTGTGTGTGTGATCACAGTTGGTTTCCTTTTCCTCTGTTGAAAAGAGATCTCTACTGAGTCCATATTTTAGCTGTTGTGAACAGTGATTCCCTAAGCATGGCTCTTCAGGTATCTTTAGAGTGTTGGTTTCCTTTCTTCTGTACTGATAACCCAAAGCTGGGGTAGCTGGGTCTTACGGCAGATCTTTGTTTGTTTGTTTTTTCATTCTTTTTTTTTTTTTAATTGGAAGTAGGTTTTTCTTCATACAATATATTCTGATTGTGGTTCCCTTCTCTTACCTTCTCCCAGATCTTCCCTACCTCCCCACTCACTCCAAACCCTCACTTTTTTTTTGTTTTCTCTCATTAGAAAATAAAACAGGCATCTAGAAAAAAATAAAACAAGATTTTAAAAATACTGTAGATTGCATAGATTAATAATCAGATTTTGAAATCATCTCACGTACCAAGAAAAAATGTAATTCTAAGCATAGAACTCTTCTTTTTAAAAACTGGTAATGTTAAAGACAAAAGTATTTTCTGCTTTGAGATAAAGCTCCTTTAAGCATTCATGGCATTGGTGGTGACTACAGAGAGACTATCGTGAAGTCCATGACAGCCATTCGCCTATGGCTTTCTTTCTTTTCTCACTTTTCTATTAGGTTTGACCAATTTTTGCATCAGGGCAACACGGGCCTCTGTGAGAATGCGGGAAGTATTGACCTCTTTTCCATGGACGCATAGGATCTATTTTAGCAGCCGACATGTTTGAGGAGTTGTTCAGAGATGTGCCTGGGCCCATGGAAACCTGTGGTACAGTTTGGGGCCTTCTGGTTGCCAACTTGGGCTGTTTAGCACTTCTAGCTATGCTGACCTGAGGTTTTATTTGTGTCCCTTTCGTGGTCTCAGATGCTGATAGATAATGCAGACCTATTGGTAGTGTCTCCATTTTGTCTCTCCTGACAGCGGGTCATGCAGTGGTATTCAGTACCTCACAGGGAGGATTTCTGTGTTCTTTCTTTTTAATTTTGTCTTTCTTACCTACAGGGTTTTTTTTTTTTTAATTTGTTGAATTTATCAAAGAATCAAATCTCCCTTTCCTTGATGTTTCCTAACTCAATTTTCTTACTTTTAATTCTTGTGTTTCCTTTCCTTCCTTGTACCTGATTAGGATTTCCTTGGCATATTTCTATGCCCTTAGGCCCATCTTGTATCTCTCCTCTTGGGTGTCTCTGCACCCACAGCAATGGACTCATGTCCTGTCAATCCAGAGGTACATATAATTAATACACATATTTAAAATTCGCTTATGTCATCTTCTTCGACTCAGGAAGTGTGCTGATTAATTTGTAAGTGTTGAGAGTCTTTTATCTTACATGTTCCCGCTTTGTGTGTTGATTTTTTTTTCTCCCTGTGGTTAAAGCATAGTGTTGGTTAAACTTGTGACTCTTTGCTTTATGGCCTCACATATGCATCTGGATGCACTGTGTTGGTCCCTTGGGAAGAGTCTGTACTTCTGCTGCTTAGGGAGGGTTTTCTGCTCAGTCAGGGTTGTGCTGCTTTCTGCTCTGTGCTTTAGCTGGACCTGCGCCTTCTCTCTCAGTCACAAGGACAGTGTTCAGGGTCCGTTCTCCTCCTCACAGTTACCAAGTGTTTGCATCAAGGTTCTTGAAGCTCAGACATTTGATGCTTGTACTTTTAGGATGGCCGTGTCCTCTGGCGGTTTGGTTTTGCTATCTTTTCCAACAATTTGGGCAATAGCAGATTTCTCAGCTAGTACATGTAATGTGGTATTCATGAAATCATTTTGCTCTTTAGTATTTCATCCATTTACTGTCAAGCCACTTGTGTACTTTTGTTTTGAGATGGCTCCCTATTTTATTAATAACCTACGTTAACTGTGCTAAACGGGTTCCGTTATGACATTTTAGACAAACGTATGTTGTGCCTTGGACTACATCCTCACCTCATTCATCTCTCCTTCGAGGTCCCAGGCGTCTGCCCTATAGTTCCTCTTCTAGTTAATTGACTTTCTCAGGGGTTCTGTGGCATCTTCTTTATCCATGTACCCACCGATGGGCACATAGGCTGGTTCTGTATTTCGACTGTGCAATAGACGTGGTGGGGAGCTGTGCCATGGTCTTTACATTACAGTTCTTCGAATGGGGACAGATGCTGCTCTTCAGCAACCCTCTTAGAAAACTCAGGGTACTGGACAGTTTCTTTTCTTCCTGCCTGAAACTAGGCTCTATGAGGCCTCATCCTATGTCTAGAGCTGCTATGTTACCCCAGAAGCAGTATCGTGAAAAGTGAATCAGATGTGGGGCGTGTCTGGTGGCCCCACCCAAAGCAGATGGTATGATTATGTGAGGCTTGTGGGACAGACAGACAGACAGAATTCTCTCTGGCTTTCTTCTCATTAATTGCCAACCTTGAGCTTTGCCATCCATCTCACTTCTGAGTGACCCTTGCCGGGCAGATATTGTGACATGTTTCGGGGAAGCACAGCCAGCAGACTCCTAAGGACTTTTTTCTCCTGAGGTTACTAGTGGGTTGGGGACTTGGGGTACCTTCCACTTTCTTTAGGGGACGAGCTTCCCACACTTGCAGGTGTGGGTTGCTGCTCCCGTTGCCTAACATTCTACACGGTGCAAGCCTCCCTGTCTGGGTGAAAAGCTATGTAGTGTGAGTGGATTGGGCCTTGTGCTGAAGGTGTATGTTGGGCTTATCTGGCCTCTAATGGCTGCCCCCGTGGAGAAATCCAGCCTACTTCTCTAATTGATGGGGATGAGGTTTGGGATGGGGGCTTATGTCCTGTGAGTGACCATTAAATGGAGATCCAGGCCTGGATGCTTTTAGTACTGAAGGAGGCAGTGAGCTGGCAGGGAAGCTTCCACAGCGTAGACACAAAGAGGAATCTGGAAGCCACTACAGCCTAGACCTGTGAGGAAGAGGAGCTCACTGTGGAGGTGACTATGGCCAAGCTTGGGAATCGCTGGCCTTGGCTTACACTAGTGATGATTAATCATTATTCTAGTGAGAAAGTGGAAGAAAGCACAGCGAACAGATGTCAGCTAGATACTTAGGGACTGGCAAGATGGCTCAGTGAGTACAGGTGCCTCCTGAAAAGCTTGCTAATCTGAGTTCCATCCCCACGTGGTAGGAGAGGACTGACCATTCAGTGCCTCCTGTGACGTGTGCATGCAGGCGTGAAAATAAATGAGCAAATTAAAAAAAAAAAACCCTTTGTGTAATCTCAAGAACCCGAATGAAATGTTCATAGTTGAGCTCAGCCAAATGTTATAAATCATAAGCCTCGAGGGTATAAACCGTACACTTAGGAAATTTTGCTGAAAAGGGAAACAATACAGATAAATAGTATAAATAGTTGTCAAAATTATAGCAAGGATACTATAGCAGGAATGTTTCAGAGAAAGGAAAGTAATGACGTGTGAAGCACAGGAGGTACTGAGGAAGCAGGTACGGGAAGATGGGAAGGACGTTGAGCATCAGACACATGATGTACTGGCTAACTTCGGATGTTTGCTGTTGTCAGGAAGTGGGCGTGACCCTGAAGGCTGCATTTGCGAATCAGCTGTAACCTTTCTTCTGCTCCTTCGTAGAGCCATTGCTTTTATCAAGGACATGCGGCCGAGATTCCAGCATCAGTTGTGACACTCAGCACTTGCTCAGGTCTCAGGTACCATTCTGGAAGTGTACACCGAGACTCTACGTCAAACCCTGGGCTTCCACCATCTTCTGTGAGAACAGAATGAGCCATCCCCCCTCAAAACAAAACAAAACAGACCTGGAGACTGTTCATACGGGCTCTTTACTTCCTCCTCATTCTCTTGTCCTTTCATGTACTTTTTTGGGGGCTTCTTTGTATTTCACCATCACAAAACTTAAGTAGAAGTGAAGCCCTCCTCCCCCACCTCCACCAGTGGAAATAGAATCTGCATTTCTTAGCCACCTCAACTCCCAACTGTTCTTAAATGCCATAGTGGAGGGAACATAGGTATAAAATTGGGTTTGAAACTTAATTCAAGTAAGACTGAGTGATTCTTTGAGAGACTAGATATAGAATTTATGAAAACCACTCTTAGTGTGATTTCTCAGCAGAAAACCTATAATTGCACATTCATTTCTTTATACGTCCAGGGGCTTGCTGCAGTTAGAGAACATCACTTATGGAATCGAGCCACTGGAATCTTCAGCTACATTTGAACACATACTTTATCAAATAAAGAATAATAAAATTGATTATTCCCCCTTTAAAGAAAACTTCTCAAGTTCCCAGGATGAAAGTCAATCCTTCCGAATTCTTGTAAAACCAGAGGTGAGTTCGACTTTCATATGAGCTACTTATATTGAAATTTTTGAGATTGGATACATTGGGGAAACAAAGTTAAACTGGATAGTATTTCTTTTAAGATATCATTGCTTTCCTCAGATAATCTTTAGAAAACAAGTAGACATAACTAAAAAAATAACAAACTTGTCACAACAGTTGGCATAGGTACATAAAGAGTCTGTATACATACACAAAGTTGCTATTTGTATGAACTTTCATACCATTATCAGAACTGGTCCTGGATTTACTTACTGATTCTTTGTCAATGCATTTGGTTTGTAAAAAAAAAAAAAAACCAAAAACAAACAAAGAAACAAACAAACAAACAAACAAAAAAAAACCCATTACTTTGCTACAAACTTTGAAAGTAAATTGAGTGGTGACAATAACCTATCGCCTCAAATCTCACTGTCTAAACATGCTGTCCTGAACTTTGGTGTACTTGCTCTCAAATGCCTCATCATGAATATACGTTCATAAATGTCCAGATTATTTAAAAAAAATAATTTAACCATGGCTATTGCTTCAAATTTTTAAGTTTTCTCTTAATATGATTGCATATTTTTAATTTTACATTTATTCTTAAATTAAATAATATGGGTGAATGTATTTGATTCGACGGATATTTGATTTACGTGTAGTGGTACAGGGCCTCATTTTACATGCGGCAGCACAGCCCTATCACAAGGAGGAGAACATAGTACCTAATTCTCCTATGGTGGGAGAATCTCCGAGTACAACTGAAGGTCACTGCTGAGACTTCGGTCCTTAGCAGGGTGGGGCACTTCTAGGAATTCCCAGATGCTTGCTGGACCTGTTTCCTTAGCAGGAAAGAGTCTAGCCTGTAATCTGCCCCGAGTGCTATGTGATGCTCCTTACAAAATCTGGGGTCACCCAGATCTGGGGAGACTTTTAGAATCCCTCTGAGAAAGGGGAGTCCATAATTTATAGACAGCTATCCACAGATGTCAGACTTCAACCTCATCCACCAAAGCTCCATACTCCTTCCCATTCAAAGACCTTGCCAAATCAGGTGAAGGCTGAAAAGAATCAAACTTACCCTCGCCTGCTACTAGCAGTCTGGTTTCAACTGGAACCTCAGTGTCATGTCCTTCTGGGTCTCCAGTGAGAGCTCTGGAACTGGAACAGTTTCAGGTACCTGGCTTTGGCTCTAGACATTGAACTAACTGATCTTCATAATCACAGCAGCCAACTATTTACATACATACATATGCACACACATATACACACATATGTATGTGAACATCTCATGTTATTAAATATTAAGTTTTTGTTGAAACAAAGAAGTCACATTACGAAAGAATGTTCAAGAAACCAGCAATGCCAAGATACATTGTGGCTAATATATTTTACTTTATAAATAAATGATGAGCAATTCCATAGACATCTTCAATGACAGGCACTCAGCAAAGATAGAAAAACTCATGGAAAAGAAGCACCTTTCAAATAGCCAAGGTTTTGTTTGTTTTCATCATGAGACCCGAACAGTTCTTACCCAGCCAAACTGTTGTTAGAGCATTTTACTTTGAAGAATTCTGAGACTGGAGATGATATTCATCGTCCGTGTTACTAAAATAAGTACAGTAAACAGTCCTGAGTCAGTCCTAACACACAGATGCGCACCTGGTTGAAGGTTTCATATTATCGACCCCTTTGTTTTGCAGAAAGTGTCAGAGGAGGAGTCACTAATGAAGAGGACTTTAAGAGTAAGGATCATCATGGACAAAGCCATGGTAGGAACGATGTCTCCCCAAGGTCTTTGTTTGGTAGAGAAATCCAGGCAGGAATGTGAACATGGAATTGGAATTGCTTTCTTTTCTTACCTTACTCTTTCCCCCTTATGGCTGCGGGTGCTTTTTTTTTGTTGTTTGTTTTTTGCCTGCTCTGTATGTCTATGCCCTACATGCATGCAGTACTCGCGGAGTCCAGAAGAGGGCGTCGTATCCTCAAGGACTGTAGTTAAGGATGGCTGTGCGAGGCCCTGTGGGTTCCTGGGAATGGAATTCAGGTCCTGTAGAAGAGCAGTAAGTGCTCTTAGCTGCTGAGTCTCCTCTATCTACTTTTCACTGTTTAATACAAACAGTTTTACTCTGTCCAGGTGTCAGCCAGGATGACACATTCCAGTAATCCCAGCACTTAGGGAGGGAGAGGCAGAAAGACTGAGTTTCCTGCCAGTCAGTGTTATAAGGGGACCTTGTCTCAAAAGATAAACTTTTGTTGTTTTTTTTTCCCTCTCTGCTCAAAAGTGTGCCAAAGTGGCTGCAGGGCACAATGGCATAGCATCAGTTGGCTTTCTCCTGGCATCAGGGGCTGTCACAGTGGCACAGGACTTTCTATTCGAAGATTCTACCACACAATGGCATTTTCACCTTATAAGCAGCTTTGTTTTGGCAGAAAAATATCTAAGCAAACTTTCAGATTACAGGAACCAAAGCTCAGAGCGGCCTTGCTCCTGTCTGCCGCATCCCTGCCGCACAGCATTCTGTTGCCATCTGTGCCGTCTCCATTTGAACCTGAAAGCAAGCTTTCAGTTGCACCACGGGGATTACCTTAAAAGCTGTGGGCAACGTAGCATCCTTCCCGGTCTCCATGCAGACCGGCCCTCTGCTGCACTGCATCCACACGGTGCGCTCTTCCTGAGGCTGGGTTTTGTATTCAAAGAAGCACGGCTAAATATTGCCCAATTTATGCATCTATGTCTGTCATTGCTCTCTGTAAGTTCCTAGGAGTACATATAAAAATCTAATGTTTGCCTCGGTATTTCAAACCATGTACGTCCTTACTGTTAATTGGCTTACCACTAAAGTTATCATGTAAATTATAAATGTAATTAATATACAATCATAAATAATTTTTAGAGAGAGTATTAGGATTATTATTTCCTGAATGAAGACATAGTCTGGTAGCTGTCCACTATTCCAGTGCTCTGGAGTTTGTTCAGAAAGGAAGCTGTTTAGCTGGGATATAAAGACACGATGAACGTGCTCATACTGAGTCAGCGACTGGATTCCTAGTTTTGTTCTTATCAGTTACAGGCTCTAGTACTTTAACACATCCAATCTTAATCGCTATGCCTGTAAAGAGGGAGTTAATCACAGCTATCCCTTTTTAATACTCTTAATTGCTAGCTTTAGGCCCAGGTGCAAAACACAGCAAATAATTAGGAAAAGGTCACATAGAGACCTAGCGTCCGTGAAGACTTAGCTGTCAATCAGCTTTAACCCGTTTTTACTTTGCCTCTTCAACTGTGTACTGCAGTATCTTAACTTTTACGTCAAAAACTATTAGAAATGGCTTTTTGATCATTTGTGCTAGTAACTGAGAAACAAATTTATCTTTCAGTTTGACAGTATGGGCTCTGAGGTGGGAGTCGTGACTCAGAAAACTGTTCACACCTTCGGTCTCATCAACACGGTAAGCGCTCCCATTCCATCACAGTAGGAGACTGACACTGACCGCAAACACAGTATTTGTGTGTGTGTGTGTGTGTGTGTGTGTGTGTGTGTGACATTCACGTCCCTCCCAGCACTTTAACCCGTGGTTTGGGTTATCCCCTCAAAGCGATTTGTTGAATGTAATCCCAGCATCTAGGGGCCGTGGCAGGGTGATCGTCCACCCAAACTGGGCACATCTTCTTTCCAGATGTTCTCCCAGCTGAAGGTAACTGTGATGTTAACCTCTCTGGAGATCTGGTCTGACCAAAATAAGATTGAAACGAATGGGGACATTGACGAGGTCCTGCAAAGGTTTCTGCTGTGGAAGCGAAGACAAGCAGGTCCAACAGTCCCAGACATAACATACCTACTTCTGTGAGTACTTTCTTCACAGCGACGCGTTGTTCCGTCGAAGTCACGTATCTGTAATTATAGCAGAACTCTGGGGAAGATTAAGATGGTGAGAGGGCCGGCATGGGCAGAATGCAAAGATCTGATCACATAGACAGACCCGGTTGTTCTCCCCTCCCCCCACTCGGGGACCCCATCACCCCATCCCACTTCAGCACTAAGGTGTATCGTGAAAAGCAGCAGGGTGAACACGGGCCTCTGCGTTTATAAAGACCTTATAGGATGTTTGCGCCGTGATGTTAATGCTATGAATCCAACAATCGCCTATGCTGCTGTTTAAAAATGGTTTTTGATCATTTATACCAGTCATTGAGAAACAAATTCATCTTTCAGTAAATAACTGAAATGGACCAACCACCGCTTCTCTGCACCTGTGGCTGCTCTCCAGCGTTCCTATAAGCAACCTAAGGTGTAGTTTTTAGCTACTTGGTCAGCATGTTTCAAAAGTCTTCATGCAGATTTCGATGTTACTCACTGAATCATTTGAAATGTAACTATGAGAAATTTCCTCGTGAAGATCTTAAGAGATAGAGAAGGCCCCACATGTCTCTGGCTGCCTCCTGGTAAGTCTGAGGCCAGGCTGGGCGTTTGAAGGCAGCATTAATGGCTAGCCTCTGCACACCACTCCTTTGTTCTGTTCTTGGTGAACCTCCCTCCTGCCCCCTTTTAGGATTTGTTCAGCACGTGAAAGCCTGACAATAGCTAATACCGGCTTTTAGATTTTACAGTCAGTGTTCACCCAGGGCTGCTGACCCTGAAGGAGGGAGTTAAGGACATGCTGGTCCTTGCTAGGTTTTGACTTGTGAATTGGGAATCATAGAATTTTTTTTTTTTTAAGTTTTTCGAGACAGGGATTCTCTGTGTAGTCTTGGCTGTCCTGGAACTCCGTAGACCTGGCTGGCCTTGAGTTTATAGCAATCCTCCTGCCGCTGCTTCCCAAGTGCTGGAATTAAAGGCGTGTGCCACCACCGCCCGGCTGTATCGTGGGATCTTAAAAGATCATTTTAAACTTAAATTCCTATTGAGTGTGGAGGGCATAATATTTGTGTTTTTACTACGTAGTGAGTGGCTGGTGGCAGAAAGCATATTGTGTGATGAATATCATGTTTAAGGATATAGAAGTTTCAGAAATCCATTGTTTTAATGCCCTTTCTAGCAACACTTTGAAACAAGTTCACTGACATGAACTTTTAATTTAGGTATAAAGATCACCCTGACCATGTGGGAGCAACCTATCATGGGATGGCCTGCAATCCGAAGTTTACGGCAGGAATCGCTCTGGTATGTCTTCTGTGATCCCTAACAGTAATGTCCAGGGTCACCTCAGTGAACAAAAAGACACAGGGTGCATATTTATTGCACACTTTTGGTAAATTTTTAGAACAGATTTTTTTTTTAAGGCTTTTGTTATAACTTATAAAAGAGTTGGTTTGTGCCAGGCAGTGGTGGTACTCACTTTTAATCCCAGCACTCAGGAGACAGAGGCAGGCAGATCTCTTGAGCTTGAGACCAGCCTGGTCTACAGATTGAGTGCCAGGACAGCCAGGGCTACACAGAGAAACCCTGTCTCAGAAAACAAAACAAGAGTTGGTTTGCTTGGGGAAAACATCCCACAAATGCGGTCTTAACCAGTTCCATAGCGCTGACTGTGTTTGCTTTGTTGTGAAATAAGTCTCAAGATATGTCCACTTTTTGAAAAGGAGTCTCCAGATCAGTCAAACAACCCCTCCTCTGCACCAGGGGAGCCTCATTCCATGTTCTGTTTCTACCGTTATAACCTCTTTGAGGTTTCCTAAGTGGGCTGCCGCTGAGTTCCTGGGTGCAGTACAATGTACTTAAGGCTGGTTAATCTATGCTGTAAAGCATGCAAGATTTCCCCTCACTGACACAATAACATCAGCATATACCGCCTTAACGTATCATTCTGTCAGCAGAACTTTTGGGGACATGCCTCTGTTGTTTTGCACCATGCTGCGACACAAGAAATAAAGCAAGATCTCTCTTTGAGGTCCTAATATCGGTTAGTCTAGGTGTATACCCAGCAGTCAGCGTGCTGACTTATGTTATTAGTCCTTTGTGGAACTAAAATATTGGTTTCGATAGAGGTTATGCCAGCTTATGATCCTTTCACCAATATGTAACTAGCTGCATGGTCAGCCAAACTTACTCTGTTTTGTTTGAGCTAATAGAGACAGGCTAATGTGCATGATGGCGCAGCTCATTGCTTTTGGTTGTGTTTTGGCAGTCACAAATGATGCAATCCCAGTTCATATACAGTATGATATACATTATGATAGACATTACCACGTATTACCAGAGAAATAGCTAGTCAAGTATTTTGCTTATTTTTCAAGTGTTTTAATGCTTTGTTGTTGAATGTGGGCATTTTCTGCATCATGACTAGTAATCCTTTGTCAGACATGTGGTCGGCAAATGTTTTTTCTATTGCTGCATGTCGTTGTCTTTACTTTCATCATGACATTGAAACAGGGGCGTTTGTAGCAGAATCTTCTTTGCCTGTCTTTTGTCTTTGCCCCTATCCTTCAGGAATATGATGGTGTCAATGTCCGAACCTTTCCCCTGTTCTCTTTTGTGGTTGAGAATCTCTTGCTTAGGTCTTGAATTCATTTTCAGCTTGTTTTTAGAAATAGGAAGTATAAAGATCTGCGTGAATGCTGCTTCTTCCCATGTCCATCCCACTTGTCTTTCTGAATGAGGATTGATATCTTACCCAGGGTCCTCCTTCTTGCTTAGCTTCTTTAGTTATACAGATTTTAGTATGTTTATCCTATATTATAGGTCTAATATCCACTTATAAATGAGTATATACCATGTGTTCTTTCTGCTTCTGGGATACCTCACTCAGGATGGTCTTTTCTAGATCCCACCATTTGCCTGCAAATTTCATTACTTCCTTGTTTTTAATTGCTGAGTAGTATTCCACAGTAATAAATGTACCACAATTTCTGTGTCCATTTCTCCATTGACAGACACCTAGGTTATTTCCAGCTTCTGGCTATTATGAATAAAGCTGCTACAAACATGGTTGAGCAAAGTCTTTGCTGTGCACTTGAGCATCTTTTGGATATATGCCTACGAGTGGTATAGCTGGATCTTGAGGAAGTGCTATTCCTAATTGTCTCAGAAAGTGCCAGATTGATTTCCAAAGTGGTTGTACAAGTTTATATTCCCACCAGCAATGGAGGAGGGTTCCCTTTTCTCCACATCCTCTCCAGCATGTGTTGTCACTTGAGTTTTTGATCTTAGCCATTCTGATGGGTGTAAGGTGAAATCTCAGGGTTGTTTTGATTTGAATTTCCCTCATGACTAAGGGTGTTGAGCATTTCTTTAAGTGTTTCTCTGCCATTCTATATCCCTCTACAGAGAATTCTCTGTTTAGCTCTGTACTCCATTTTTTAAATTGGATTACTTGGTTTCTTGCTGTTTAACTTCTTGAGTTCTTTATATATTCTGGATATTGTCCCTCTGTCATTTTTTTTCCATTTTAAAAATAGTTTAGATATTATATTTTATTGAATTTGAATTCTAGTTTAGGTACCATTGTCAAACAAATTCTGATAGAAGCAAACGGAAAGGAGGAGGAAGTGAAGGAGGAGAAGGAGAACTTATACAACAATTCTGTTCTTTTTATCTATTTAGCACCCAAAGACGTTGACTGTGGAGGCCTTTGCTGTTGTTCTGACACAACTGCTGGGAATTAACCTGGGGTTAACATATGATGATATCTACAATTGCTTCTGTCCAGGAAGCACCTGCATCATGACCCCTACAGCAATGTAAGGTCTTTCCCAGATCTGGTTTCTATAGATGATTAAGAAATATTTGTAGTACATTTTGATGTGCATTTTGTCACAGTATAACTTGACTAGGAACAGCTTAAATAGATGTGTATGCAATTATTTAGAGCACACGGAAGAGAATGAGTTTAGAGTGTGACAGAAAGCACGATTAGCAGTCACCACTACCATGCGAAGTGAAGGCAGGTGCTGATGGCTTCACTTGCCTGCATTGTTGATATGCTTGTAAGGTTGGAATGCAATAATGCGGAAATGGCAGAAGACTTGGAACCCACCAGGCCTGTGAGTAAGGAGGTTCGGCTGCGCACCTTGGGGTGGAGGGAGATAAAATATTACCAAAAAAAAAAAATTAGCAACTGTTGAGACTATGAGGAAGAATATTGCAGGCATGGAAAAAGAAAGCAAAGTGCAACAATGAGGCTAACGGTGCAGGGCAAGAATAAAGAGATGAGCTGGGGATGAAGCAGAACTTGAGGCTTTGGGGTAGAAACTGAATGTTTGCAGAATGGGAGGTTTTATAATAAACTCAGCAATACACAATCAATTTACACAGCACGGATGATTTAATGTGCCTTGCAAAGCGGATACACAGTGTAGCAGAGGGAGCACAAACACAGTCTTCTTGGGAGATAGGTGTTCTCAAAACAATCCACGGAAGCTTATTAACAATGAGAAGTGAGGGCGTTATCATTCCTATGTTTTTGCCTATCACAACTCATTACTAAATATTGAAATATCCAGGACAGTTTCATTTGTTGGATTTGGCTTATTATTAGTTACCAGTTAGGCCCTTCAAGCATGCAGCCATGTATAAATTGTACAGGTTGCATCTCAGGGGCAAGTGTCCTAGAATGCACATAGCTTCAGCTGGTGGGAGAGAATTAAAATTCGGTGCAAAGAACTTTGAGAGAAGTCACGAGGTAAGTGTAAGGTGGAGAGTTCAGCCAGCCAGGAGGAGGGGTTGCGGAAGGGCATGCATCCTTCCCAAGGGAGGTCCTGTGGATGATGAATGAGGGAGAGGATGAAAGTCACATGCACAAAACCATCAAACCGGAAACACTGGTTTCAGTCTCCCCAGTGTCTTTCAAGCCCTAGAGAGGGGTGGTGGTAAGGGAAAGAACCTAGGAAAAACTAGTAGAAAATGCAAAAAGTAAGACTATACTGCAAGTCCCAAAGTGGAATGCACAAGTTAAAATACATCAACAGTGCAAGGCCACTCAGTAATAACACAATCTCACAATGCCAAGTGGCTACATGGAGTAAAAGAGAAGGAATACTGGAGACCCATAAAAAGCTAATAGAGGGCAGGGGGAGATGATTCAGTGTGTAAGACTGTTTGCTGTGCCATCATGAGGACCTGGGTTCAAATCCCTAGCACCCTTGTAAAAAATGTGAAGCATGGCCACTTCTGTCAGTAACCCCAATTTGGGGATAGAGACGGAGAGATCCCAGGAATTTACTGGCCAGGTAGCCCCACTGAAAAGATGCACTTTTAGTTCAGTGAGAGTCCCCGTATGAGACAATGAGGGGGTAACCATTAGAGGAAGAAACATGAGCTCTTCCTTTGGCCTCCTCATGTATGTACATTGGCACATAAAGCAGTGCACACATGTATACAAAACACACACACACACACACACACACAAACACTGCTCACATGTAGAAACTATAACTCTAAAACCACTGATACTTCACCTCCCCTAATGTTGGGAGTGCAAGGCACGATGAGGTAGCTGACAGGAAAGCATGAAGGTATCGTGAATGTGTCTTCATCTGCTTGTATGACATTGGGCTAGCGTAAAGAAATCTAACCATGAGACCCCAAATCACCAATCTGAGCTTTAAATGTTCTTGTCTTTCAAAAGGAGTAATGATTGATTCCAGGACCAAAGGTGAGCAGAAAACACTGGGCGAGACCCTCCTGAGGGCACAGAAGCTAGTGTGGGCCGCTAGCTGAGTCTGCGCAATGCCACCTCAGCAGACCGAGAGGTTCTGATAACCCTTCACTCGACTGAAAATGGATAACAGTGCTAGTCATAGACTGTGTGCCACCCAATGAAAAAAAGAAAGCGGTTTCATGTTAGTTCAGTCATATGAGTGAATACAATGAAAATTACAGATTAAAACCAAATATTGATTATAATTTATATATAAAAAAAACTATGATCATAAATCTCTAAACATTTATAAACCAAGGAGGAAAACATACGTAGTTGAATGAAGGCTGTCAAGCATGCCTTAGCTAATGTAGCTTTTATCACAAATGAAATCCTCTAGTTGATGTGTCTTTTTACCATAATGGAGCAAACTGGAATTATACACCAACTTTTAGTTCACAGTGAGATGAGCATAACAGCCCTCCTGTGGTGACAGTTTCGCAAAAGTAAAGCAGGGGACATTGGCCAAAGTAACTGCAGTGCAATTGCAAACCCATCCAAGATCACGAGAGCTTAACAAAACCAGGGCAGTCAAAGGCCAGTGCTTCATTCTTTCCCTAAATCCATAGTGAGCTTACACCAAGGCCTTGTCTATTTAGGACACCTAGGGTAAAGTACATTGGGACACAGCGCCACCGTCTTACCGTTTCCCTGTTTCAAGATTTTATTATATATTCTTATGCATGGGTAGAGGCCAGAGGATAGCCTTGGGGAGTCCTTTCTTCCCTTCACCACGTGGTTTCTGGGGACCAAGTTTAGGTCTTCAGGCTGATGGGACAGGCATTCTTACCTGCTGATCATTCCTGCCAACCCAGGGTTATTATTTTCAAGAGGCAAAATTTGATTCTTGGATCATATCTGCCTCCGTGAGAACAGTCTCAGATGGCAATGAAATTAAACAGCATCTCTCTGAACTCTGCACTTAAGTGTATAGAAATACAGGTGCTGGGATAGGTAACATAAAGACTTGGAGGCTGAGGCGTGAGAATCAGTTGGGTCTAGGAGATGAGCTTGGGCCATAGAGATCACTGTTAAACAAGGATAGGAATTGTTCTGAAAAATAAAGTTGAAAAAAATAAAAGGAATATGAGGCCGTTCATTTCATTTTCCTCAGCATTAAAATAGTGCATTACTTTTATTGCCAATAATAGAATCATCTTTAATATCTTCCACTTTTCTGCTTACGTTCCTCTTCCATGTTCTTACTGATCATTTGAGCTTCTTATAGTAATAATTAGGTTGAAACTAATGCAGTGCCTTTGTGCTTCTGGAGCTGAGGGTCATTTCACTCTAATTCCCTTTATTTTCTGTCTATTGAGTCTAACAAACTACAATAGAAACGAATGTATTGCTTTGGTTATGGACCTGTGTTAAAACGAGAGGTAACTCCCTCTCTTCTTCTTGGCTCTTCTGTAAGGTGAGTACTCGGGGATTTATACACTTTATTACAGACCGTTACTGGGAAAGCAGTTAACATTTCATTTATCTGAGGAACATTGATTTCTTTTCAGACGTTCCCAAGGCATAAAGGTTTTTAGCAGTTGCAGCATGGACAGATTCAAGCAGCTGGTTTCACAGCCTGAACTAAACTGCCTTAGGAATTCGTGGGTGCCAGAACATGTTGCCCTGCCGCAAAAGGGCGAGTGCGGCAACCACATCTTGGAGTTTCCAGAGCAGTGTGACTGTGGCTATCCAGAGGTTAGTTCCACAGCTTTTCCACAGCTATTCCAATGCTTGGTCTATGTCTCGCACACAGTCCTGTAGATACATATATATGAGAAGGGGGTAGACATCGTTTTCAGAGATGATGGACCTTGTATTAACTATGGAAGAGAAATGGGTATGGTGATTCCCTTGCACCCAGGCAAGAGGATGGAGAATTCTAGATCAGCCTTAGCTGTATGGGCAGACAGACCCTGCCTCAAGACAATGACAAAATGGCACTTGGAACTGAGCTTATAATACGAGCGAGGTTGTTCGTTCTTATTTAAAAGAGTTTTAGAAACTTACCAGTATCTTATATTTACCTTAAAGATAGGGGATTAGTTTCATAGAATATGGGAGACTGATAGTTTGTAGCACATTGTTCTGGAAGAGGGATGGAAAGGTTGTAAGAGTCAGACAATCAGGGAGTTTTCTGTGAGAATGTGTCTCCTAGTAATATCAGAAGTCACACCCATAAAGTCTTACCAACATGACTGCCTAAACATTTGCTCAGCAAGAAAGCCACCAGTGAACGTGTTAAAGTGAAAGGGAAAAATGCTCCTGAGGCCTCAGCCCTCCATAAAGAACGACATATAAGTAAGAAATGTTGAGGGCAGGAGGAATAGTCTTCCCCAGGGAAGAACACATCAGTTGATTATTTAATACCAATGTCCAGCCCTGAGCACATACATGCAAGAAACATTATATAGACTGAGCAGGTTATATTTAGGAATATATATGTGCACAAATGCAAATCATAACAATTAATAGAAAAAGAGGCCATGAAGCTAAAAGAGAGCAAGGACGGGTGTGGGGGAGTGCTTGGAAGGAGAAAAGGGTAATGGAGATGTGTGGTAATTAGACTAAAATCTCAGTCATAATAAATGTTTTTTTTTTTATCTTTTAAAACATTATTTTGGGGATTTTCTTTTTCTTTTTCATTATTTAAAAAAATTTAAATTCAAATATATTTTGATCATATTCTTCCCCTCCCAAGTCTCTCCAGATAATTGGTTCTCAACATTCCTAATGCTATGACCCTTTAATATAGTTCCTCATGTTTTAGTGACCCCAGAAGAAAATTATTGTCATAGCTACTTCATTATTGTAATTTTGCTACTGTTGTAAATCATAATGTAACATCTTTGTTTTTTTGATAGCTTTAGATGATCCCTGTGAAAGGGTCCTTTTACCCCTAAAGGGCTTGTAACTCCCAGATTGAGAACCTATGTCCAGATCCTCTCTCTCTACCCAGCTTTAAGTTCTTTCTTTTGAAAGAAACAAAAACCCAGTACAATTACAAAACTTCCCCAAGCCAAGAAAACAAAATAAAACCACATGC